CATGCTGGGTGTAAACGTAGGTTAATTTAAATAGAACAGGCTGACGATGGGTTGGCTCAGTGCAAGCAGCTCCGGGCGAGCGAGAGCCGGGGAGAGGCGGGGAGAGCCGGAGAGCGAGCAGGGCGAGGCGAGCGAGAGGCAGGGAGACGGCAGGGAGAGGCAGGGAGAGGCCGGGCGAGGCAGGGAGAGGCAGGGAGTGCCGGGGAGAGGCGAGCTCCGGGTTTGAGAACTCTGACTGGGCGAGTGGACATGCGGATAGTACCGCTGAAAGCGAACTCCTTCCGTACGCAGGGCTCCTGGAGTAAATGAGGAACTCTGCAAAAACATGCTGACCTCCAGTTCTGGTTGTTCGGGGGTGTTTTGTGAACCAGAACTTGTTTTGTTGAAGCCCTACAAAAACGTTATTTAGCTTTTTATAACAATTAAAGGCTCGTGCTCATTGAAAATCCACCGCTGTCCTGACTTAAAGGCAACAGAGTAAGCTCCTCCCACCGGCGTTCAGGCGCGTCACTCGCGTCATTTAGCTTTAAGCACAAAATGACAAACTCTTCCCGGCGTCTGTTGAAGCGCGTCAAAAGCTTTTTGAAGCTTTTGGTTCTGAAACGCGCCTTAAGAGTCGATCGATTTCACCAGTACTCTTGTCTGTTTTTTTTGTTTTTTTTACTTTACTTTGATGTTATTATGGCTGTATTTGTCTGTGCACACTGGTGATTTTGCGTATATATTCCAATGTGTTGTTTTTACAGCAAATGGCAATATAAAATGAATATGAACTGTTAGTGGAGTCCTTTCTTTAATTGTGATATGTGTGCTGTCTCACGCTATGTTTCAGCACAATGATAACATTTGGTTGTAATGTGCTTTAAACTGTAATGGGTAAGCAGTTTGAGATACGAGCATTCAGACAGAAGGTGCGGGTATGTGTTTGTGTTCCTGATTGGTGCAGACAAAGCTTTTCCATGAGGACCTGGGATGTGACCACAATCTTTGCCATCTGCAGTGGACTAATAAAAGCTCCACATTTTCGCACAAACAATCCAGCTTTTTCCATTCAAGAAGAAGGCCAACAAATTCCACATTCTTTTATTAAAATTTATTTCTGCTTGTAAATTTAGTTTAGCCCTCGTTGGAAGCGTTTCTATGAAGACGCATGATTCACACGAGGTTTCCCAGGGAGTGCTTATGTGCTCGTTTTTGGCAGACAGCTCTTGACCCTCAGAGCAAGCTTTAATGACTTCGGGCTGCAGTTTTCACAATTTCTTTACTTGACACCATCTGCTGGTGCACCAGGCCTGCCTCACCTGAATCGTGAATATGTCCAGTAGGTTTATCTTTCATATTCCATTGTTGAATAATGAAGCCTGGGATATCTTATCCCTGCCCAAAAGACAATCTTCTGCTTCCGCTTTCACAGGCGAATGGAAGGGTCTCTTGACAGGTCACAAATAAATGTTTGCTCAGATGAAATCGCTTGCTCAGCTCACCCGCTGACTTCCAGCAGAGGATTATGAGTTTCATTGAGTAGCTTCTGTGTGATGTCTGTGTGTGGCGTGCGTGTTCTTACGTTTGCATTTTGATTTTGGAATAATAAATTACTAATGACTCTAATGAACCACTTGTCATCATTCTATGGCAGGACGACACCACTGGCAGTATATATTTTTTTATCTTTACAAGGGGAAATAATCCAAACGGTGGACATTCCTCTTCATTTCCATGTTATAGTTGTATCCCTTGTTATTTTACAAAACAATCACAGTTTTTAGTGGAGTTTGTATTATTTATATTCTCATTTTCTGCTATTTACTTTCATCCCGCCTCTGACCACCACTTTCCCTCCGCCCCGTCCAGAACTTAGCCCTTCCGTCCGGGTTTTACATAAACTGAATCCATGATTACGGGAAGGAGGCAAGCACACCATGCTGCCGCGTTTGATAAGTAAAATTGCATAATTGCATACGCATACATTGTTTTTGCTCAATGTAACACTTCATTTGAACCACAGAATTTAATATAAGAGGGGTCATTTGCAGTGGATTGAGAAATACTCCAATTTTTTGCAAACGTCAGCTTTTTCATTCAAGATACGCTTACAAGCAACAACATTCTTCGATTAAAAATAATTAATCTGAAGAATGAATGAAAATCGTATCATATGATAGAAAACTGCCAATTGGGTGATGTCCACTTTAAAAGTAACTATGTTCTCATAACTTTTCAATGTGTTTTCCCCAAACACTGTCAAGGCTGCATTCCTTCTCTTCTTGAAAACCGGTGCTGCTGCCTGTGGTGCTCTGTCTGTCCTCGTTATTTACAGCCTGACTGATACAAAGAGCCTACATGTGTTTTTTACACTTCTTTTGTTATCGGCGGCGCGGACTATCTGCATCATCTCAAATGCAATTGCAGCTCCCCTCACCTCAGGCCGCCGTGTTGAGTGCAGATTTAGTGTGTGCGCCTCAGTGCTCGCAAAAATCTCTGGAGTGGGAATGAATTGTCATAAAAACTACTCAGGGCAGGCATTATTTGAGGATCAGACAGTCATAATGTTGTTTGTTCTCAACTTTTTTGTTCAACTTTGTGGAGAGACTATGCAATGAGACTTGTTGGTTGAAATATATATATTGTTTATCTGGGCCTGGGTCTTACTTAGCGTATGATATTTTTAATGACGATGCAACATTAGGCAGAAGTTGTTTAATGTCTGATGAATGAGGTCATTAATCTATATTATGTTTTATTGCTATGTTTCTGGGTCGAAAACATCATGTGATGACTTTACTTCTAAAGAGTAAGCTGAATGAACAAGACGGAGACCAGTGCTCTGTCCAAATACGTCTTTGACCCGGAATCCGGTGTTCCATCGCCATGACATTGGAGTATCCACGTGTTAGTCTGTAAGTTAATCTTTATTTATATGCACTTTCACAGACCAGAGTCACAAGACACAATTTGTGGGCATTTGTCTTCACACATGCCCACAACAAACAAACTGAAGTACGCACAAGGAACATGCGTCACCATTACAGGAGACGATACCAGACCTATTGTGTGTCTTTTAGTGGGTATGGGAAAGCGGAAGCACCTGAGGAAACCTACACAGAAGTAAGAGAGCTCACAAACTCCAAGTAGGGAAAAGCAATCAAAAAAAACAGTAATGAAAAGAACTTCTGGGTTCTTCATACTGGCGTTAGCACAAGACCACTGGTATTGCCTTCATTAGCCCTTTTAGCACAGGAAATATCACCACCAGTAGTATGATCGAACACAGATAGAGCTATCGGTCCATGGTTCATCACGGAGGGAGGCCCACTTCCACAGACAGAAAGGCTGTGATCCAGGGACTAGGGACTGTCGAAACGAGGACCGAAGGCCCCCCCCCCCCCCCCCCCCCCCCCCCCGCGCCGATGCAGAACCGGGTGCGCGAGACGCACATAAAGTTCATAACACGGGTGCTTTGACCCGCCTGTATTCTTATGTCAATAGAATGTGTTAAATCCAGCTTTGAGACCACTTTGTAAAACCATTTTTAGGAGAGGAATGTTATTTGAAAATGGGCTTGTTTGAGTTTCTTCATTGTTGCAAGATTGTTCCTCATCAAAACAACCGATCTGAGTTGTGTTTAGATCCAGATAATTTGAGGAACTACTGGCGCAAACATGTATCTCTGCCCTTCATCTCAAAAAGCTCCTATCCCGTGTCCAGTAATATATGATGTCATTGTACCTACTATGGACATCACCACTTAGTGCAGTACTGCCCATAATGAGTTTTGGCAATTTCTGACATAACTGGTGGTTGCATAGGGATAGGGCAGGGTATTTCACCTATTTACTGTTGATATATTACATTATTCTAAAATTGGAAAATGGCAAAGTGATGAGTCTCTAATCATTGTAAATGGCCCATAAAA